AAGAGAGATCCATCGAAGGACTGTGCCCATATTGCTGGCAGCAGCAGATGCCCTGTCTTCAGGGAGGCACATCAGAAGGTGAATAAGAAACAGTAATGCGGATACTACAGCTAAACCTCAACCACTGCGAGGCCGCACACGATCTGCTCATGCAGACGGTGCGGGAGCTGAAGTTCGATCTGGTGATCGTCTCGGAGCCATACAGACATTTGAGCAATCAGCCCTGGGAGACGGATAAGAGTCGCAAGGCCGTAATCTGGTCTTGTGGGAAGTTTCCGTTTCAAAGCATTGCGACTACTGATGAAGCTGGCTTTGTGGTAGCTAAGCTGGATGGAATTTATTTCTACAGCTGTTATGCTCCACCAAGCCTCACCCTTGACGAATTCACGGACTTCCTGCATAGACTAACTGAGGACGCGAAGCAGCACTTCCCTATTGCAATCGCGGGGGACTTCAACGCCTGGGCAGTCGACTGGGGTAGCAACGAGACAAAAGCAAGGGGGCAAGCACTACTGGAGGCCATGTCTTCGCTGGACATTGTCCTGTTGAACAACGGTGATGGACCCACGTTCGAAAGAGGAGACAGGAGCTCAATAGTAGACCTCACCTTTGTAGTCCTCAGGCCTCAAGGCCTCAGTAGTAATCTCGCAAGGGAAAACTACTCCTGGAAGGTGATGGATATCTACACCGCTAGTGATCATCGAGCAATCTTTTGGGAGGTGTCCGCTGGTCGAAAAAACAGACCAATGCCTAGGAAGACAAACGAAATCGGCTGGAAGGTGAGCACCTTCGATCCTAGCACATTCTCAGTGGCACTAGATGATTACCCCATACGGGGCAGTAGTGCTACGGAGAAAGCCGAGGATCTCATGAGAAGAGTTAGCGAGGCTTGTGATGCCTCAATGCCTCGAAAACGCAGTGGAGGCCGTCTGCCACCAGTGCNACGAGAATCGCCACCGACGGACACCAACGACCCCAAGAAGAAGAAGAAAGATGAGGTGAAGGTCGCTCATACCCAGAGCAAAAAGGAGGATCTACCTGCAAAGTCTTTGAACTGGGAGCAGGTCAAGACCNACTGGTGGAATGATCATATTGGAGCTCTTCGAGAGGAGTGCGTCAAGGCTAGAAGGTCGGCTCAGCGTGCTCGGAAAAAGCTGAACTCCGAAGAACTGGAGAAGAAATGGAAGGATGCTCGCCGAAAGCTCAACAAAGCTATCAAGGAGAGCAAAAAGAAAAGTTGGACTGGACTCCTTGACGAAGTCGAGAGTGACCCGTGGGGAAGACCGTACAAGGCGGTTATGACGCGGCTGAAAAGCAGGCCTATGCCATCGCCGACCTGTCCCGAGCTCTTGAAGGAGATTGTAGCGGTGCTTTTCCCGCGACAACCGGAATTTCAGCGTGCCAATACACGAGGAAAGACTTTGATGGTCCCATCGATCACCGAGGAAGAGCTGATGGAGGCGTGCGACAGATTCGGGGATGCCAAGGCCCCGGGTCTTGACGGGATCCCAAACATCGCACTGAAAGCCGCTATCCATGCGTTGCCAGGCCTCTTCTTGGACGTTTTCAACGAGTGTCTCAGCGAGGGCATCTTCCCTGCAAAGTGGAAACAGCAGAGGCTAGTGTTGCTCCCGAAAGGGAAAAAACCACCGGACGAACCTTCATCCTACCGTCCTCTCTGCATGCTCGATACAGCTGGTAAGATCCTTGAACGCATCGTCCACAGAAGAATAGAAGCAGCTGTCGAACCAATGCTGTCCAACGACCAGTTCGGCTTCCGGAGAGGCCGTTCAACCCTTGAAGCGATCAATCTAGTTGTCGATACAGCTAGGGAGGCGATTTCAGGGGAGAGATGGCTTGGAGGCACAAAGAAGTACTGCCTGGTGGCAACACTGGACATCAGGAACGCCTTCAACTCAGCCCGATGGGACTGCATCATGGCGGCCCTTGAGAGATTTGGTGTACCTGAATATCTGCGGAGGATGGTGGACGACTACTTCACCGAGAGGGTCCTCAAGTACGACACGGAGAGTGGCCCCAAAGAGTACAGAGTCACTGGAGGGGTACCTCAGGGCTCGGTGCTGGGTCCTCTTTTGTGGAACATCATGTACGACGGACTGCTGAAGCTGACACTGCCACGCGGTGTGCGGCTCGTGGCTTTTGCAGATGATGTGGCCGTAGTGATTGTAGGAAAATACCTGGAAGACATGAAGCTCACCTTCGGAAGGACTTTCGAGGTGACTCGCCGTTGGATGGACTCCGTCGGCCTGAGCCTGGCCGAGCATAAAACGGAGGCCGTGTTGATCACAAGCAGAAAGGTGTTGGAGACAATCACGCTGCAAGTCGGGGATTATGAGCTCACATCCTAGCCGTATATTCGGTACTTGGGAGTGATGATTGATGCCCGACTCAGTTTTAAGCAGCAAGTGGAACACATCACAACTAAGGCGTCAGGGGTTCGAGCAGCTTTGTCTCGCCTCATGCCCAACATTGGAGGTCCCAAGCAGAGGAGACGAGCATTAATGTCATCGGTGATTACGTCAGTACTCACCTACGACATTGCTGTATGGGCGGAGACCCTTCAATTACAGCAGAATCAGCGCAAAGTGGGGCCTGTCTATCGACTCAGTGCCCTTGGAGTCGCCAGCGCATTTCGCACCATGTCCAACGATGCCGTGTGTGTTATAGCCGGAATGATGCCAATTGAAGTGCTAGCCGAGGAACGAAGATCCCTATTCCAGCAAAAAGGAGAGACGTCACTAAGTCCAACCGAAATTCAGGCTGAGGCCAGACGACAGAGCATAGAACGATGGCAGTTACGATGGAGTACCTCACTGAAAGGTAGATGGACATATCGTCTTATCCCGCANCGACTAGATCCTCAATCCTTGAAGCGATCAATCTAGTTGTCGATACAGCTAGGGAGGCGATTTCAGNCTAAGTCCAACCGAAATTCAGGCTGAGGCCAGACGACAGAGCATAGAACGATGGCAGTTACGATGGAGTACCTCACTGAAAGGTAGATGGACATATCGTCTTATCCCGCAGGTGAGTGCTTGGGTGAATCGTGAGTACGAAGAGACCAACTACTATTTGACACAGTTGCTTTCAGGACATGGGTGCTTCCGGGCTTACCTTCATAAATTCAAACATGAAGATTGCCCGGATTGCCCGACCTGCTTAGATACCACGGAAGACGCAGAGCATGTATTTTTCATGTGTCCACGTTTCAGAACGAGCCGCTTGGAGTGGGAGAATGAACTTGGAGCATCGATCCTGCCCGAGAACTTGGTGGAAGCCATGCTGTCATCGAAAACAGCCTGGGACGCCACGAGTGACTTTGCGACGAAAGTCATAAAGGAGCTTCGCGAGGAAGAGCGCCGTCGAAAGAACGCTGTATAGGAGGAAAAGCTACCGGAACCTTCTTCCCACGCCCAACACCTAAGTGAGGAAGGAGGACGTACGGTTAGTGATGTTAGTAGAGGAAGAGCAAGAGCTGATGTCCCCCACCCCCCGCGAAGTAATGCCTGACGGCCGTTCCGTGGGGAATATGGGGTAAGAGGAATTGAGGAAAGAGGGCTTTACTCAGTAAAAATCTGAGATCCGTTTTTTTAACATCTTTTTAACGAAATCTTTTGAAGATTACCTTAAACCTCAAAAAAAAAAACACACACACACACACACATCCATCCAAAAACGTCATAGAATTTTTCCAGGGGTCATGAAACATGGAAATATGATGAAATATCCACATTCGATTTTCGGGGTCATTACAATAACCTCCTCCCTACGGGTCGGGAAGTTAAAAAATTTTCAGATTCATAATTCTCGAGTTTTTTCTAGGAACGCGCAAGGCTATTTTTAGGCGAGAATCTAGGCACCTTGTTGTCAAGTGCAATGTAGATCGCATAAAACTGCGCCTAGAGATGATACATTTTTGTTCCTTTTTATACTCTCACATGATCTTGTCACGTTATCGTCTTCCGATGACGACACACTGACCATCCACTAAAATTAGAGAACAATGCTAATACTCGTGGAAAAAATCCACTCTAGGCACGACTATATCACTATATAACACCTAGTAACAACCTTGTCTCGAGCCTATAAAAGGAAGAGCACAAGCCCAGCAGCTTCACTACTTCCACTTGTACTTTTACAGAAACAATTACTTACTCCTGCTAATCTCAGTTTTTCAACAGAAGTCTGATCCGAGTTTTACTTCAAACATAAGTCAAATAAATAATATATTAAAGTAAAATTCAAAATCTTTAAAAACAGCTTGCATGGCCAATGAGCGTATTCATTATAACTTGAGAATATCTTGTTATCATAACTGACCTACGAGCAGTCGATGTACGCATTGAATCAAGACCCGGTTGCACCACCCCCTGTTAAAGTTACCAGCCAGTAAACCTCTGGTAAATCTTTGATAAATTTTATTCGGATGTTACTGGAAGTTTATCGAGAATCTACTTAACAGAGATTTATCCCCCCGGTAAATGTCTGTTAAATAATCCTCAATTAGTTTGCAATGATTTCATTTTTTAAACTTTGAAAGGTTTGAGTTTGATTTTTCATTTTAAACTTTTAGGAAACATTTAAAAAATCTGAAAAAAATTGGAAAGTCTGCTTTTGGAACAGAATTGATAAAATAATTAGAAAATTGCAATATTTGAAAATTAGGGGAGAGTGGGGCGAAGTGAAACGCCCCGGCCAAGTAAAACGAGGGGTAGAATGAAACGCGGAGGAAAGTGAAATGGTAGCGAATTTCATTCTTAAGGGTCAAATAGTTTTGAGGGTCAAATGAGAAAGTGATCAGGAGGATCGAAAGTTCTTAAAGGCCAAGTGGGAGACAAGTACAGTAATCAGAAGAGTCGAATAGGAGAGAAAGGGGCAGAGATCACTCTACTTGTTTCTGCCACAAGACCCTGAGAAAGTTGCAGCCATCTGATTTCTTTCACCGTTTCTCAATACTGTTCGACCCTTCGTTTTTTTTGGTAGGGGGATAGAGGGGGAAAAGGGACCATGTGGGTAAAATGGACCACAAACAGTTTTTCATTTAAGGAGAGGTTACTATGAGTTTTAAAAGTCACGGAATATTGCAGTGAGATTTATCGTACATTGAAGATCGATTATATATCTTGAAAAAAGAGGAATGAGTGCAAAAAACGATTGTTCATTGTATGTTTGCCCCCCAGGCGCTTGAAATCTAAAAAAATAGTCCAGTGTACTCAATTTCAGAGCTACGAGGGTCTTTTTTTTTCTCAAAATTTTTCCAACTATGTGTAGAACAACAATTACGAGGTACTTGTTTCAAATTCAACTCCTAAATAGTCAATTCTGTAACTTTTTTAATTTAAAAAATCAATATTCCTGCAAAATAGCCAGGAAAATAATCCTGAAAATAATTATAGTATTTTGGATTTGAGGAAGAAATTTAGAAGTATTCATTCTCCGGGCTATTTTGCTTGAATATTGCAATTTTTTATTCGGAAAACAATGAAATTGGTTATTTAGAAGTCGAATTTCGAAAAAGTACCTCGTAATTGTTATTCTACAGATCTTTTGAAAATTTTTGAAAATTATAGATTCTGAGATTTTCAAACAAGTTTGTCTATTGAAGTAGCTCCACCCTCACAATAAATTTGAAAATCATTGAAAACTGCAAGGAATTCCCAGGAAATTCGATTCGATTCGCAAGCGTATTTTTTTCTCAATTTAATGGCCGTTTGGATTTTTTAGTGAAAAAATGGTGGAAAATCAGGATTTAAACCAGTGCGGGGCTGTTCACTTATTACGAAAGACATTCAGAGAGAGGGTCCTAGGATTTCTGAGTTCATTATTTAGTGGCGGGGGGGGGGAAGAGGAGGAGGGTGAAAATGTCATATAAATACGGGAAAAAGTCACGTGTTACCAAATAAAATTAACAGTGCTGGAATTTTTCCCTGGCCGTCACTTTGAGCCCCTGTTCCAGTGCCAGCATTAGAATTTTTTTAGAGAATTTCTTTCCGTGCAAAATTCAAAATGGAGGCAAATCCGTTACGATTACGAATAAATGATTTTTAGGGTGGAAAAATGATTGTTGCTGAAGGATTTATCGAAAACGATAAAAATATGAATTGGTTAATTATTTCGTAAATTTTTCACACGAAACAGTGTAACAAAACGGTTATAGATCCCGTCAAACAGTGAAACAATTAGAAGGTCCAAACGGGAAAAATTTTCTTCCTTCACCCTCCCTATGACCCTTGTGATCCTTTCAGGCGACTCTAACGTTTGACCCATATAACTATTTGATTTTACCCGTCCGTTCAACTCTTGTGCAATAAGAGCTTTGGACTCTGGTAAAGGGGGCGACCTTGGTAACCCATTTTACCCCTCTCCTCCCCCTAGTTGATACGAAAAAAACAAATCATCTGAATTCCGCTATACATTCGGTTTTTGCTATCGTTTCATTTTGTCCGGCGTTTCACTTTACCCTGGGTCCCCTACGACCATTTTTTATGGATAATAATTATTATATAATATAATTCATTCATTTATAAAAAATCAATTTTCCGGCCTGAAAATACTTTTTTCGAAATCGTAGCAAATTTATAAATTTTCTGAATTTTACTAGAAATCATTTTCATGCACAAAAAATAAGGTTCCCAAAAGTTTAAACAATTTCACTTACTTATTTATGAGAAGGAAATGTTAACAATAAAAAAAATTCTTTACAAAATGGAATTTGAATGAAGCTCGATACCCTCACGGAAAAAAAATATATGCAAATAATTATGTGACATATATGTGACAAATTGCATTTTTTGCCGAAAATATATCTTACATATATGTTAGATATATGTCGAATATGTGGATAATATATATGTGCTCACATATATTCAGCATATATCTGATGTATTGCATTTTTTGCCAAAATATATGTGCGTATAATTGACATATATTTCACATATATTCCGTTTTCCGTACGGGTATCCATGAATTTTTTCAAATTTATCGCATAAGAATCTGAGATAAAATTAGAAAGTCTACTTCTGGAGAAAAATCTATAACATAATTCAAAAGATACGATTTTTGAAGATTACGATCATTTTTCCTGAAAAATTTATTCAAAATATGAGTGTTCCACCCTGCAACGATTTTTTTGGAAATCCTAACAGAATTTCACCATCTTAGTTTTGAGGCTTTCGCGGCCATGATTAATGAAATCTTTGGCTTCCGGATGGATGCCGTGTTTGGATTCAGCGTTGCGCCGACGTTTCGCAAACATTGCAGTCTGCATCTTCAGGGCTATGAGCTCCGATTCTGAGCTCCGATGTCTAGGGGTAGTCCTTATATGCCTTCCCTTGTGGTGGTGGGGGAAGGGGGGGGGGGGTCAGCCAATCATATATTTTTAATTGATCAGCTGGTCAATTAAAAAACCGGGAGGACGGTTTTCCAAATGGGGTTCACTTGATATCCTCTGTCCCTGTTGAGGTTGTTAGGGTTTTTATGGATCTCCAAACCCTCTCGGTATTTCCTTTCGAAATACCCTTGAGATTTGGCCAACATTCTGGCTTGGTCGTACTGGATAGTATGTCCAGTGTCCATCCAGTGTTCAGCCAGGGCAGACTGTTCTAAGTGACCGTATTTGGAGCACCGCTGGTGTTCCTTGATCCGTGTACTGATCTTCCTCCCGGTTTCTCCAATGTACACTTTCCCGCATGAGCAGGGGATCTCGTACACTCCTGGTGTGCTCAGAGGTGGTCTTGGATCCTTTGCACTTGGCAGCATCTGTCCGATCTTCTTTGGAGGCTGGAAGATCGTTCGAATGTTATGTTTGCTAAGTACTCTACTTATGCGTTTTGTTATGCCTTTCAGATAAGGGAGGAGGGCCACTTTTGGTCTTTCCTGGTTTTCC